CATCTTCTTCTTCTTCTCTTTCTTTATTATTATTACTACTACTACTACTACTACTATTAGCATTACTATTACTATTAGTATTATTATTACTATTATTATTACTATTACTATTGTTGTTGTTATATTATTGTTGTTTATAATTTATACAATTAATCTCCCTATGATTTAACCCTAGTCTTGCCGGGTTATTTATTACTTCAACACTCCTGCACTTAGGAGAAGACATCAATCTTTTGATCATATCATTATTGTAAATTTGTGTTGTATAACACTTGGTACAACAAATGCTTGCACTTTCATAGCCAACCATATGGTATAACCTACACCTGTGCTATGAAAAGAACTTGATTTGTTGTTAATATAAGTTAGCATTATGAATTTCTAACAATATTTAAATGTTTAGTGTTAAATGAAATAATTAATATAATCATGTTAATAATTTATAATGCGCTATTAATGACAAATTATCCGATTGGAACCTCTTTTGTGTGTGGTTTCCAGTTGAGTAATAAAAAGAGTTTATATTATACTTATTTGAAATACTATTAGTGGATCCTTTAACCTTGATAATTATTTTTATCATTGTTTATTCTTTATATTAATCTTACATCTTAAAGTTCTCTTTAACTCATCATCATCATCATCATCATCATTATTTATAATTTATATAGTTAACCTCCTTATGGTTCTTGCCCAATTTTACCGAGTTATTTATTATTTCGACACTCTTACACTAAAGAGAAGACATCAATCTTTTAGTCGTGTCAAAGATGACTAGGGGTCTATATTTTAAAACCAGATAAGATGTATTGCATGTCATTCAACTCGATGAGCATTATACATTTGTTTTGCAAAAATTTCACAAAAAAATTCCTAATGGAATCCAAAAAGACTAATAAATTAAAGTTATAATTTACGTCAAATATAGCAATTCTACGAAGGAAAAGGTCATAAATAAAGACAGTAGAAAGATGGATTTTCTTTCATGAAAAAAAGGATTAATAGGTACAAAGTTAAACAATATAAGGATGATAAACAACATAATTCCTTAAATTGTTTATGCATATGCTTAATCTCTTCCTCAAACTCATGATGTCACATGTTGACATAGTCCCTTCAGATATTAACATGCACACTCAATTCTTGGTTCTCCTCTCTAAGTCATTCTTTCTTTAATGATAGAGGTTAGGAATTCGAGCATTCAACTCAAGTCTCTTAGCATGAAGATTTTTTTTCATGCTCACCAGGGATGAAATGATTGTGATACTAAGAGCAAATGACTGATTAACCCCTTCAATATCAATCTTGACCGCTATCATTGTTTTATCACAGATAAAAACCATATCTCTAGCACTACAATATCTTTATTTCCCATTATAATGCCCTCTATTGTAACTGAATGACCATTCACTTTAAAGGTATTGCACTAAACTACAGGCTCTATTGTAGGGATGGGGTTTAGGTTAGCATTGGAAGAAAAGGAAGACATGATTAAAGCTTTATAAGTCAAGAACTTTGGAAGTAATGAAAATATAGGAAGTTAGGATGTTGGTGATGGCTTTTGCCAAATGTTGTGTGATTTATAGATAATTTACTCCTACCATCATTTAATAGAAGCTCAAATCTCAATCATACATGTATAACTTTCTTGAGAAGTTATTGTCCTCTATAAGCTAACTTTCTTAAGAAGCTTTTGTCATCTATGAGATCATCATACACCTTAGATCTTAATCGTACGTGTAGGACTTTCATGAGAAGCTTTCATCATTTTTGGGATCCATGTACAAATCAGATCTCGATAGCATATATATGCCTTCCTTCATAAGCTTGCATAGAAGCTTGCATTGACCATGAAACCAAAAATACCCCATTTTCTAGAAGAAAGGATTATTTTGTCTAAAGATCTAAGGAAATTAACCAAGTAATCACAAAAAAAAAAAATAGTTTTACCATCATGAAGTTTCAGACTCAACCATGCAATTGAGACATTTCAAGCCTTATCATATAACTAGGTCAGTCATTTCTATAACAGTTAGGTAGGTCGCTCATAAGAATAAGACCAACCTGAAAAAATTTTATATTTCTCACCAAGGTAGTTTGCCATTAAGAACAAAACCAATGTTGAAATCACTTTCATATATTTCACAAACAGGTTGGTCACCTAGGAAATAAACTAATATTGAAATTATTTTCATGTATTTCATAAAATCAATATTAAAATCACTTTTATATATTTCATAAACAGGTTGTTCATCTGGAAATAAGATCAATGTTTGAATCACTTTCATGTATTTCACAAAACCAATGTTAAAATAACTTTTATTTATTTTACAAATGGGAGGTCACTTCGAAAATAAGATCAATGGTTGAAAATACTTTCATGTTTATCATTTCGATATGTTGCCTATGAGAATTAAATCAACTGAAAAATCTTTATATTTTCAACACTTAGGCAGGTCGTTTGAAAAATAATTTTAGTCAAAATCAGGTTCACTAGGCCAATATGAGTCAAACCATGTTAACTAGGATAAAAAAAAAAAAGTTCAAGCCATTTTAGGTCAAAATTGTTATTTTTAGTCAAAACCAAGTTCATTGGGTTGATACTAGTTGAAAAATATGTTTTAGTGTTTGAAATTAATTTTTTAGCAATCAAAATTGATTTTTACCAGTTGAAAAAGATCATTTATAATATTGATTTGAGTTTTTAGTTATATATATATATATATATATATATATATATCAAAAAATAATAATGTAGAAGTTTTTTTTTTCAATGGAGTAGTTGGTGTGGGTTAAGATTTCTTTAAGAGACTTCATGTCTCTTGTAGTGTATCTTGAGTACAAAGCTAGTGCAAACCATTCACATGTCTGATAGGGCTTATATACTAGATTAAAACTCAAATCAATCACACCTCTTTAGCAATCTATCATTTGATCCTATCTTGATATGTCACCCAGTGCACCAAACATACAATGCATCTTATCACACCAAAGCAAAAAATCTATCAACCAATAGCGTAAGATCAATTTTCAAATCAACCCAATAACAACTAAATGATCAATTTTAACGCTCAATTCATCTAAAAGTGATACAATGGTCCACAAGTTTCAGGTGCACCAGATTACAATAATCGCATTCATACTGTAGCAAACCCTAAAGGCTCTCACTCCTCACTGATGACTCTCTCTCTTCAAATCTCCCGACTCAAGTCATATCTCACGGCAAAACCACCATATAAAGACTCCTCTACTCATCGTGAGCAAACCCCAAGTTATATTCATCATTGTTGACGACATATCTCGTTGGAAAAAAGTTGATACATCTTCGGCCACCAGAAGCTTCAAATCATCAATTCTCTCGCATCAACCATCAACAGCCAACACCACCACCATTATTAGAATCTACTCACTGAGATCTACAAGAATCTACTATTTGTGGCCTGAAATCCCATTAAAAAAAATTTAACCTCTCCAACAGTGGTCACTAGTGAGCTAAATGCACTAGTAGGGGTATTTTTGTAATTTCTAAAGAATTTCAAAGGTATTTCAATATTTTTCCTTTAAAGTGACACTTAGGTGATTTTGGGAATTTCAGGTATTTTATTTGTCTTTTTATACTTGTATTTGTAAAATAACTAAAATAAATATAAAAAACGATGATAATGTGGGTCCAACACCCAATTTATCTAGTCATCATGTACGAGTCTAAAGTCCAATTCTTATTTATGGGTTATGATGATTTTATAGCTATTCCAACATAATCTTCTTCTTCTTCTTTTTCCAAGGATAAATGCTATTCGTCTACACATCTTTGTTTTTTTAAAAAAAAAAAGGATGTGCTATTCGTCTACACATCTTTGTTTTTTTTTTTAAAAAAAGGATTGATTTAAAATTTTAAAAAGAATATGCATTATGCCTATTTTTTTCCAACTTGGACGTAACCCCTTTTTTTAGGGTTAAATGTCAATGTTTTGATGAATCTTCTATTTTTTAGGACTAATGTTATTTTTTGATATGTCTTTTATTTTTAGGGACCGATGTTAGCCCTAAAAAACAAATTACAAATAAGCTTAAAATATTATAGCATTTGAATAAAATTAGAAAAAACACAAGTAAGGATAACCTTTCACTTGAAATGTTGTTTTAAAGGTAACTTCTACCTTTCCTTAATCATAAGTAACTTAATATCTAAATGTTTAGGACTAGTATCTAATTTGGGATTTCTAATAATTATTTGAATGTATTTTAAGAGAAAAGAAATAATATATCTTTTATTTTTAAAAAAAATAATGAGCAATTATGTGATACGCTATGATTCTTTATAGAAAAATATCTCTTATATTTAAAAAATGTTGGTTATTAATGCATGTTGTTTATTTGATTAAAATGAACTTCAAAAGTACATAATATAGGTTATGATACAAGGCTATAAAAGAAATATTATTTTATAAGTTTAAAAGAGTGTTTTAAAGTTTAAAGACAATACGTTATTGTTATCTTATTATAGTGTTTTCTTTTGCTATCTTGATAACCATATCAAATATTTGAAATTAAAAGTTTTTTTTTATTTTTTAATTTGTACTCTCATATTTGTTCGGCATTCTTTCAATTGTTTAGATTATCGTTGCTAGATTACTTCCTCTTCTTTGATAACATTAAAGAGTTACATATCAAAAGAAAAACAAAAATGGCAATTGCAAGCATTCGTGGATGAGTTAACTTCAAGTAAATCGAAAACTTTGGCTGCATGGGCACCAAAGAGCTTTGTTGTACTTGAAGTTTGATTTGGTACTTATGCTTTTATCTTTTATTACCGCAAATAATGTTGATTTTCATTTATTCTGGTTCTTTTCAGTTCGGTGATTCTCTTCTAATTTTGATTTGCATGTGTAGCTGGGACTAGAGAATGGGGAACAAATTGATGCCATGTCGCAGATGCATGGAGGGGGTCACAAGATCTTCCAAATTCCTACTGGCTTAGTGAAGTCAAGTTCAGTTTCTGTCAAATTTGTACCCAGTCATCTCCAGTACTTTGTTTTAAGACATGGAGATCTGGATAGGTTCTTAAACTTGCATTATGGCATAACATGATTTGATGTTTGAACTTTCTGTGGATCATCAATGGAAATGAATTAGTAGTTTTCTCAGGTGCGATTGCAACTAGCCATCTTCCTGTTCTACTGGCCTGATCATTCCTGTTTCCTATGTTATTCTGCGATGATGACTATGTACTTCTGTTATACTGTTCATACTACTTGTGATTGCTCTGTTAACGATTTGTGTCCTCTGAAAGATTGGATGTTGCCTGCACGTAAATGTGCAGTAGAGAAAACATTGAAGAACACTGTGTTCAGTGTTCATAAGCGAGCAGTAATCTTGTGATGGGAATAGGAATACGAAGAGTTGTTGATTTTGCTTGTCAAAAAACCTTCATATTGCAAATAGGATGATGAAACTAAGACATACAGAGTCACTCTGTTCACGTCGAATCAGACTCAATTTAGTGTCATCTCAGGGTGAGCTTAACTGTTTGGACAGAAATCTCCTCGGACCATCTTTTGTTCTTCATCAGCTATTGTGCCTTGCTGGTTTTGCTAATCCATTCACAGGAACCCTTGCCGGAAACGGGCTTGAGTTGACCGAGTGAGATTGACCATTTTCAATCATTAAGAAAGCTGTTCAAGGAAGTCCAAGCCGAACTTCAGCTAAATTTACTAGTGGATCGCCTGAAGAAAGATATGAATAACCAGACAATCAATGAATGCATTGAACTGCAAAAATCTTACACCTCAGAGAACATCTGAGAGGAAGTTTCATGACCCTCATGTGTGTGTAACCTAAGACAGACAGTAGCTGGAAAAAATATCAATATACTGTCAAATGGATAATTTCTCCTCGTATTGCATCAAATTTCTCCATTAATATGTTATCACTCGGGATAGCATAAACCTTAATGCTTTACCAAAAGAAAATGAAAATAAATATGTTTAGATTTTTACAGGGAATCCGAAATCTACCTCAAGGAACTAGGACTCAGGTTCCAAGACCAGCCTGAAAAATTATTGAGCTTTTACAGGGTCATGGAAGATATTAGGGATTTAAGAGATGAGTTCTCAGGGAGACTGAAAAACTTACCTGACCATGTCTTGGCAAGACTGAAGGCAATTCTTGAAGGCCACCGTGACCTGATACGGGGGTTCAACGTTTTCTTGCTGCCCTCGCATCGTTTTAGCGTTGATGATGATGATGATGAAGACGATGACAGTGAGGCAGCAGAGGTAGCGGAGGAGGAGGATAAGATGGAAGCTGCGGCTGCTTTAGCAGAGAAAACAAAACTACTACGTGGATTTGAAGGAGCTCACGATTTTACAAAGAAGCTGAGGATGCGTGGCAAGAAGGTTTGGGAAGATTTTGCGAAGATTTTAAGAAATGCCAAGGGCATTAGTGATCTCTTCAGATTTATTGTTCCGCTGTGCGGAGACGATGCTGATTTTATAGAGTTACGCGAGCTTGTGAAGCACCTTCATCGGTAGCATCTCAAAGTCCAGATTCTCAAGATAAAGATGTGAAAAACAGCGGAGCAGTACTAATTAAGGCTGGTGAAGAGCGGAAGAAGCAGCATCCTGAAAAGATTGAGGTGGTTCAAGGGAACGATAAGGAAAGAAATTTTGTGAGAGGATTTGCAGTGGAACCAGGTGACCACGTCGTAAAAAAAGCTCCTGCAGGATGGATTTTTGCTTTTCGAGAACTTTCATAAGAAGCTATCGTGTGAGATCAGCTATTACACTTTACTAAAGATGTTTTTCTATTATATCAATGGAAGGATTGGAAGTATGAATGGAAAGAAAGTATAGTTGCTATGATTAGAAAGCATCCTGGTCTCATGGATGAGTTCCAGCGTTATGATTCGTTCTTTGAGAATGTTCAGGTATCCAGGAGTGAGGTTGAGGAAGAGGATGAAGTGCAGAGGATTGAAACAAGGGGATCTGAGGACAGAAAGAGGGAAAAGTATCCCAATAAGTCAATTCGACTTCATCTCTCTCGGTGCAAAGAGTGCACTCCTAGTTATCGATATCTCCAAAAGACTATCGTTTTCCTTCTAAACACAACGCAAAGCAACCCGAACTGAAGGTGTTGAATGATCGATTTTTATTGGTGCCTTCAGGATCCAAGTACTTCTCCACTAGAAAGAGCAATGAAGGTGAGAAAATCATGCTAGAATGTGAAGATAATAGATATGAGATGGACATGCTAATTAGATGGTTTAGTTCAGCTGTTGAATATGCAGAAGAATTGGAAAAGGGCATCGATGATAATGAAATGGAAAAGGGGAATCGGAAGATCTTTCTATGGTGTCTTGAACGTTTATGTGGTGATCAGGGTCTTGAGGTACTTCACACACTAAATGTTGATCCTCATCATGCACTGCCTCTCCTCAAAGTTCTTTTGGAACAAAAACTGGAGTTAAAAGAATATAAAGATGGATTTGAGCGGATGCATATGCTAGAAATTAGTATAAATCATTAGGCAGTCCAGATAGTTCAACAAAAATCAGAGAAATATGCAAAGAAACCAAGCAAACAGCTAGAGTAGAAGAGAAATTTGAAGGAAAGTTGCTTGACCCCCATAACCAAAATCCATGAAACACCATGGGATCAATTCAATCCCTCATCCTTAATCCTAGCCACTCTTCTCTTGAACATTTAAGCTGGTAATTATTCAATGTTGAGAAATACCACTGCATTCTTCCAATTGATAATATGATACTAGAAATTTTAGTTCCAGGTCACATGTTATAGATTTGTCTTCCTACAGTTTCTAATAACGTGGTGTTTCTTAATCAACTTTTTATGATGTTCTTCAGGACAATTACACAGAATATCATTCTGCAGAATGCAGAAGTAGAAATACCACTCCCATCTCCAGTTTTTCCATCGACTCCTCTTATTATGGAAATAACATCCTCTGATCACTCAGTATAAAACCATATGGAAGTCGTGTAAGATTCATATAGACATCAGACGTAGCACTTTTAAGTAAAGAAATAAAATCCTCTGTGAGGAGACTCTTTTGATATTTTTGTGATTTGTTCCAAGCCAACAGAATAGTTTCCATGGCTCTAGCAAGGCCAGTACTTTCACTTCAGCTCCAACGCTCTTCAAGCTACCACTACCAATTCCTTCTCCAGAGAGTACAAAGTATGCCATAGAAAGACTATGCATTAAATACATCCAATGAAGAATTGTTAAGGGAGCATCCGAAAGCATGATTAGGCTCATGTAAATGTAAAACCTCTAAAGCATTGTGAGGGAAAATTTTAAATAGTTTATTGAATTTAAAGTGCTAATAAAAACTTCCTGACTACTGGCAACATGTAAAGAACAAGGGCCTGCCTGCGACCTGTTGTCAATGTATTGTTTATTTCTTATTTGCTATTCCCTCCAGCCTTGATTAAAGATTGCAGTTTTCCAAGTCCTAACAGAAATAGTTTCAAATATTGTTTGACCTGTCACAAATACGAGCGTTGAAAGACCAAATTAATCTGTTATTGTCTCATGGAAGATAAGCTTAATAATCACAATTTTGTTTCTAAACAAAAGGTGTTTTGATCTCCATCTAAAATAATTGTTCCTGAACTGGTTTCGACATTTTCCTTGTTCATGGGAATTGTGTATTGCAGGTTGCTAAAGACTTGAGTAACTAGGGATGAAAAATTACACTTAAGATTTAAAAATTATGCTAAAATGACTGATGCGAACATGCCGAACATATATGAAAATTCTGACAAGCTAGACACACCAGTGCAAACTGTAGAGAACTTATCCTGTCTACATTATTCGCTCAACTTCATTTCAGCACACATGCAGCCACTTTCCATATGAAAGTAGTGTATCTTTGCGGATAAGCATGAGCTCAACAATGGAGCAATCTACTTCCGAAGTATCAAGAACCAAGATTTTTAAAAAATTCTGGAAGATGTGCTTTGGTCAGGTTAGTGATCTGTCTGATCCGATGCTTCTTGTTCTTGATCTTTTTCTTTGAGTAAATGCCCTGAAACAGGTCTGCTGCCCTCCTCTTTGCAGTGTTGGTAGCTGGCTTCATCCCATTCATTTAGAGATCCTTCTCAATGTCAAGCATATCACGAGGCAGTTCAATCCATCGAAAGAGCTGTTCATGTTTGATTTGGGGTCATTTGGGCAGGCAAGATAGCATCCAAATCTAGTCTGCAGCTTTTAAAGCTTGGAAAAGGAGTGATTTTCAGAAATCTGATTATGAGGCATTATACCCAAGACATTCTGTGATGAACTTTTGCTTACTACCCCTTCTTATCATCATATAGTACCTTGCAGTCAAGACAAGAGTAGGAACCCTTTCAGAAATCTGATTATGAGGCATTATACTCAAGACATTCTGTGGTGAACTTTTGCTTGCTACCCCTTCTTGTCATCATAAGCACCTTGCAGTCAAGACAAGAGTAGGAACCACTGAGGAGACATTGGCTACACATTCTGTTAGTATATATTTCTTGTAGCCAATTCAATCGATGGTTACACTTGATATTAACTTTATCCATAATTTAACATATTTAATTTTAATAAAGATCTTATTTATTTTTAATATTCATCAAATATTTAAATAATGAATCTAGATTAATTAGTTTAAACAATTGCACTAAATCATATCCCCTGCCAGGAATAACCTGGTGTCGAGAACACAACTTAATACACTGTCATCATTTTCAACAATATTTCTACCTGAAATGAGTCTTAACGCAGACATAATCTTACTCCTTGTTTAATGATTATATGTTGTCGGATATCTTGGTTTTTGAAACAGTGGAGTTTATCCATCAGCAGTCGTTCAATACCAGTTAAAGCTTCTACTAATGGAACACACAAGTTGTGGCCTGAGTCGCTGTCAACTCAAGTGAAAACGGCTGTTGATCGTCTTAGAATTGGCTTTTCCAGTTCATAAGCACATGAATGCTGTGATGAATCCATCTGTATTGTGTACTTACTTTTTGGGAATTCTGGTCAGTTTTACTGCACATATTGTCGTAGAGAATTGCTGTTTTTACTATTATTTGAAAATCAAGCACAGAACCTCAAACACTTCTTACTTCACAATTTAATAATGCTTACAAAGAGCTTAATAAAAATAGAGTACAACTACAGAGACTCAAGCAGATTTGATCATGATAAGCAGGATGGAGTGCATAGGCTTCAGAAGTTCTAATTAACAACAATGATTCACCACGGAAAATGATAATAATATTATACATAAGAAATCCAAAAATAGAGAACACAAATATCCAGAAATTCCATTCAACCATGCACGTGAAAATTACAAAGAAAAAGTAATCATCTGGCTTGTCAAATGATTTTTAATAAACTCGAGAGACTACTTCATCCCATAACTTCTCAAGATCATCACGCCAGTGTTTAAGCTCCTCTAATTTCTGCTTCAAGCGATGCCTTAAGATAGGCAGTGCATGCTGGGGATTTTTGTCGAAAACATCAAGCACCTCGAGGCCTTGATCATTATATAAACGTTCAACACATCTTAGGAAGTGAATCCTCTTCCCCTTTGTAACTTTCCCTTCATCGTTGCCATCCCCCAGTTCCTCTGCATACTCAACAGCTGATTTAAACCAAGTAAATAGCATGTCTATCTCATCTCTATCATCTTTACATTGAACGATGATTTTCTGTCTCTGATTTTGGCTCCTGATGTTAGAGGAATAGTCTTCAGTTCTTGAGGCAACAGAAACCAACTCATCATTCAAGACCTGGGATTCATGTTTTGCTCTCTTTCGGTCCCTTCTTTCACATCTCCTTGATTCTTGCATATTCTTGCATTTTACCATGAAATCATTGAGCTCATCCATGAGATCAGAATGATTTCCAATCATAGTAGCAACCATAGTTTTCCATTCACTCTCTTCAAACTTCTCCTTTGTATAATAAAAGAGAAGCTTCAAGAATCTCTCATAACGGAAATTGCAAGACAACCTCTCCTTAACTTTGCCAAAGAAGCAAAGTCCATCACTCATACACTTTTCTATGACACTCTCACCACCTCCCGCTACAACTCCTCCAGCCTTGTTGACAAAATTTCTTTTCTTATGATCATTCTCTTCAACAACCTCAAGATTTTCAGAATGCTTCTGCTCCTTGACAGCCTTCACCAGCACTGCTCCTTTGTTGTTAACATCCAAACCTTGGGAATATGGCATATGATATGCCAAAGGGATTGATTTAGAAGCAGGCAAAAATCTATAAAACCCCTGGAGCAAATCAGGTTCTTCCGCCAATAACGCAAGGGCATCCTTATAGACATAATCCGGGTTCCTGCTCCCGTTATTGAGTGGAAATAAAGTCCTCAGGAAGGCTTCATAGAAATCCATGCCACGCAATATCCTCACTTTCTTGAAAAAATCCAAAGCATCTATGAGTCCAGGTTCTTTTTCCTCTGCTGCATCCGCCTCATTTTCCTCCTCCTCATCTTCCTCCTCCTCATCATCCAGGCTAAGTTGATGTGAAGGTGGCAAAAAAGAGTTAAAGTCACGTAGCAGATCATCATGACCTTCAAAGATTGCCGCTATTCTGTCTAGGGCATC